ACATTGTTTGACAATGAACTCACGCGAATTCGTCTATACCGGAGCAGTACTGGTCTAACACTTTGTAAATAACAATCGGATCTGTCCTCATTAGAGGTCGACAATTTGAAATCACTGGGGGTGGCTAGAAGATTTGTTGGAAGAAATAATTACAAGCTAGACACCGAGAGAGAAAAATGCATGCTAAGTGTTGCAGGAATAATTGTTGGCAAAATAAAAATGTGCAGACAGGACACCGTGAAAAAATGGTCCATACTTACAGGGGAAAGATCCCATGGACCGGTACTGTAGTAAAATTATTTTGATCCACCATTACATTGAAGGGAATTCGCGTGTGGAATACCTATGTTACCATTACGTAAGCGCATGGCCTAGCACTTGTCGTAGGACAAATGAGATTTAGTGCTACACAAAACATTACCGCTTACTGATTCATTACTATTGTTGTTTTTTTATTTCACATTTTAGGATTAATTTCGTCAGTTGGCATGATCGACAACTTGGTATCCATAGCAATAGCGGAAACGTTTGCGCCATCTTAGATCCGCTGCAGGCTGAAGAGTGGTATGTCAGCGACTGCTACGATTACATGTATCATTTCATATGTGAAAAGAATACAGGTAAACCTAACACACTTCAAAGAAGCAGTAAATTTTTGTAACCATTTTCGTCATATTTCGAGACATTCAAGTAGCACTTGTTTGAATGTCAGAATGGATCATACGTGCGTATCATCGTATATCATGCGTCCGCAAGGTATTATGGGTATCGACTCGATTTGGATGAAATTAATCTTCTCACTACGACTGACTATAGTTAAAAGCGTTACACTGTAACGACTTAAAAGCCATTTTTTTAAACGACACTGCTTACACCTTACGTCATTGTGACGTCACAGAAATACCTCGTCGCTGGAGGGCAGAACTTGTGTATTACACATTTATTTCATCACTCTTCACGTTTTTTTTTTCATCCTACGTGACACAGCTGGCAATACTAAGGTTATCTATTTCACAGACTCGGGTGTTGTACAAGATGGCCACAATATAAACCAGCAAAGTAAGATTCCCTCGTCTACATTCGTTTTCTTTTATGAATTCGAAATTTTGATATTTTTCAAGTGCTTGCACCATTTGACAACTCGAATGTATTGTTATTAACTGTTAGAAATAATAAATTAGAGACAACTTAATTTCATGTATTATGACCAGATCTAGTTGATTGGTGCCCAACTAGTCATCGAAAGATTGTTAACACATTTCACATTTTAGACACTTGAATCCGATGTCAAATTCGGTGTTACTGATCATGATACTGCACATACATGAGAACTTCCAATTGTATAATGATGGAAGGAAAAGTGTTGTCCGCTGTATTATCACACGAGAACACTCACTCACTAATAATGATAAACGACTTTTTCATCCCATGTCACTAAGCAATATGTCAAGATATGAAGGAGTAATTTCGTCATAGAAACTGGAATTTCTGACTCGCTTCTCAAAAAAGAATGCTGACTCTCGCTTATCAAAAAAAAAAAAAAAAACTGTCCGAAGACTTCATTTTTTCATTTGGAATATCATACTTGTGTAACTAATGAATGCATAACGACGATGGCATATACTCAATTCACCCTGAATTTGTTTAATATATTACATTTTTCTTTTA